AAACTGCTGCAGCTGTGATTGAGATGTATTTCTCATCATATTATGCTTATTAGTTACAGGAATAACATTGATCATTAGTAGTGGCCTATTATGTGATGAGGGCGCATCAGGGATGGTATCGCCCCGAGGCATGGGACGATCTTCATCTCGCTCCGCTCTCTTGTGGTGACTGCCAACCTTGTCTCTTTGTAGTGACTCAGCTGTGCTGCAAACAGAGTTGCCAGCTAGTTACCAGAGAATACCAAAATGAATAATAATAAAAAAAAAAATGTTGAGTATATTTGCACAGACGCGACACAGTAAACATCAGAGCCGGAGGCGGATGTCGGGGGAGGGGTCAGAGATTTAGGCCAAACTTTCTTATTTTACCGTAATTAGCAAAAATATAATTACAAAAATAATCACAAAATCACAAAGTTTTCTGGAGAGCGTACAACACACGTTTGAATGAGACCGTGTGGGTACAGTGAGAGAGCTATTGTTTAGGCGCGCACTACTCTCACTCCCTCCTGACAATTGTTCGTAACTCGGAAGTTCGCAAGTAGGGACCACCTGTATGTGATATATGATATATATATATGGAATCTATAATGTATATAATAATTATAATATATGTAATCAATATATACATATATATATGTATAATATATATATATAAAATATATAATATAGATAATATATAATATATATATATAAAATATATAATATAGATAATATATATAATATAATAATATATAATATATATAATATATAATATATAATTTATATACATGTATATAATAATATCATATATACAATTATATTATGTATAACATAATAATATAAATATAATCATAGAAACAATATATATAATATGATATATAAATAATATAAAGTATATGTATATGCTATATGATATATATATAATGTATATTATATGATATATATAATGTATATATACGATATATGATGTATATGGTATATATTTGTAAAATATATTATGAATTATGATAATATGTGCAATACATTATATTTATGTGTGTATGTATATGATATACATCATATATATGACATACATAAAATATGTATATACACATGCACATCTTCAATCTACAGTATACTCTAGATGACGATTTAAAATGTGGTTTGGTTAGTTTTAATAGGATTGGAAATCAGAAAATAATCCTGGTTTTTGTTTTCTTTAATGATATTTGACAAAGATATCCCATAGTCACCCTCTGACAAACCACATTATTGGAATTTGTAGTAAATTCAAAGTTTTCAGTCAAATTTCATAGAAAAGGCAAACAAACAAATTATTGCATATTCAGATGCAATCATATGACGTTCCCAAAGCTTTCCCAAACCATCTAGTTCCCCAGGTCGTCCTCAAATCCCAGGCCCCCAAGATCATGTCCTAGGTATAAAAATACTCCAAAAACCTGCCTTATCATTAAACCTTCAGGATAGTACAGTGGTAACGCGCCGGTCTCTCATCCGAGGGGTTGCGGTTCGCGCCCCGACCAGGTGTGAAGTTGCAATTGTCGCCCTGAGGTAATTGCTGTGGCTGGGCACCACGGGGTAAGACTAACCTCTGTCGCACTAGCTGACACACGTTGATCGAGTCAACATTAGTCGGCACAGGCCGGGCGAAGCTCAGCTTCGCATATCGGACATATCCTCATCCTTGCCCCATACTGATTTCTTTACAGTAAAAATACTCTGGGCTTCGTTCGGCCGATCCCGCTTCCTGTGCCTCAACTCAAGGCAACCTCGCGCTGGGAGATCAGCCGATATTTGTTTTCTGCTGATCATTGACGCACACGCGCATTCATAACAGTTTCAGAAACGTCACTACTAGGATCGATAAATAGGTTTGTTTAACCCTCTTTCTTGGAAAGAGGAAGAATGGCAGCTTTATTAATAAGTGGATTACAAAGAAAATACTTCAAAAAGCTTTTACTCCTCTATCAGAACATTGACATCAATGTGCGAAAAGTACTGATGAAATTTTCGTTACAGGAAGATGAATCTGGTGTTAAAAAAGTCTGAATTGCAGCTTAGCTCATGTTTTTTTCACTTGTTTCTTTTCACTCTTTAAACAACCTGGAGCGTCAGTAGGATTAATCTGGTTTACAACGATATATCTTTTGTGAGGAAGGATTATGATTTAATAGGTTGATATACTTCATCTGATTCTCAGGTCACGTTTTTTTTTTTTTTTTTTTTTTTTTTTAAATGCTCTCTACATAACTATGATTCCAAGTGGTTTTAATAACTATTACCTCTTAGGGTTTATTTTCTCTCAACTACTATTATCTGAACAACTTGATATCAGTGGATTTACTCTGGCATAGCTTACTTTCCTTTATGCAGAAGGGGTGTGAAGAGTGTTTGGTTTCCTCTGGGTCTTCAGTACGTGGTCCTTTACGGTATAGTTAGGGGCATAGAAATGAAGGTAATGATAATGACTTTGTGTTAGTTTTAAAGAGGGGAGACTAACAAAATTTGGCCCTAACAATAACAACAGTAGCAATAACGATGATAACAATAATAATGTTAATAATAATAGCAGTAGTAATGATAATAATAATAACCATAATAATAAAAATAGTAACACTAGTTATAACATTAATAATGATATTGTTGAAATGCAATAATAGGGATAAGAAAATAACAATCGAATGTAATTAATATTCAATATAATGATAATTATGATAATAATAATCTTAATGATAATAACAATGATAATACCTATGACAACAATAACAAGAACAATGATAATACCTTTAATAATAATAACAATGAGAATAAAAACAAGAAAATAATAATAATGGTAACAGTAAGAATAACGATAAAAAAAATAATGATAATAATAGCGTTAAAATCAAGAAGAACAGTGCCAACCATAATAACAAAGTCCAGCAGAGGACCCTCAAGGACCCCTATAAACCCCCATGAACAGGATGTTGTTCGCCTCGTTATCTTGAATGAAGAAAACGAAGGGCCGGTTGCACGTGAACGTCGTCTTTGGAGGCATTGAACGAGACCTATTCAGAACGAACGCCGTCGCCGCTGCCGCCTCTGCGCCTTCTTCGTCCACCTCTATAAGGGCCTTGTGGATCGCTCCATTCACCAGTAATCCTCGAACAGGTGTGAAGTTGGTCAGATCGGCGGTGGAGGAGAAAAGGTCACGTATTCCCATTTTCTGTAAAGTCTGGAGAAGGAAGGCGTGGATACGATGCTATTTTTAAAGGTATTTTGCGTCATGATTTCGCTACAAGAAGAAAACAGTTTTTAATAGGTTATCAGTATTTCATTTCATTAAATAATCGTTTATTGCTCTCTCAGTTTAGAATTCAAATAGTAGCAAGACTAAGTTTAATCTTTCAGGGATATCGATTACCAATATTTAACGATTTTGCAACCAGATGCGTAGAATCTTTACTGAAGTAATGGTATGATATCTAAGCTCGAAACCCTTCGCGAGCCAATTTTCCCTTCAGCCACCATCTTGAGGGCCAACAGAGGTTTACATCTAACGTCCCAGGATTACGTTTCTTAAACTGGTATTATGTGATTGAACGTTAAGTTGATTTTACCTATCACATTTTAAATGGTGATCCTAATGGTAACACATTATATATGACTTTATTTTCATGACGATCCTAACTTCACCGGCTAATAATTATGACAGGCCTTGGGATCAGCACAGTGGACACATACATATATGTATGTACATATATACATATAAATAAATCATATATATATATATATATATATATATATATATATATATATATATATGTATAAACACACTTATATATGAATATATATACATGTATATATACATATAAATATGTATGTATATATACATTCTAATATATATATATATATATATATATATATATATATATATATATATATATATATATATATATATATATCAGAATGACATAATAGAAAAGGCAATAGAAAAAAATAAGAATGAAGTGATGAATGTAAAACGTAAGTATTGGCTAAATTAATCATTCAAAACGGCCGCCTGTAAGACTGAAACAGCAAATATCCGCGGCTGCTCAGTTTGTATTGAGGAAAGTTCCCTGCTGGTATATATATATATATATATATATATATATATATATATATATATATATACACACACACACACACACACACACACACACACACACACACACATATATAACGTTTGTGATGGCAGATTATAACTCAATTTGTGAGTTCAACAGGAACCCGATAATATTCAATTACATTTAATATGAAATATCTACTATTCATCTTTTTTTTTTTTTTTTTTTTTTTATCTCTATCCTTGATCTACTTGTTTGCTAGAATATAAGTCATTCCATTCTTTAATCACTAAATACCAGACTTAACTAGCCTTATTCACTAAAATTCCAGTCTTTGCTAACCTTATTCAGTAAACTACGACCCTTTGCTTACCATCCCCAAAATACCAGGTTCGCTTACCTTGCCCTAATTCAAACATACCGAAATGAGTTCATCCCCGAGAGTACTCTCCACGCTGAACTTGGGAAACTTGACTCTCAGCGAGACGGAGGGCATCGCCTTCAACTCGGACACGAGTACCTTGGGCTTCAGGCGTTGGACCAGCCAGTCAACCGTCTTGGATCCCCTTCCACATCGCGGGAGGAGCACCACCATGGACGCGCTGTCGCCCCTGTAGGGCATCTCCAGCACCTGGGCGCGAAACTCCTTCGAGTCCACTGAAACGGAGTTGGACATATTTGAAGTTCGTGATAATAACGTGATTCATTTTACGATTTCCTTAAATTGTAAGGTAACTTGTTCTGTGCTGGAATTATGTACGTGTTGCCATAAAGAGAGACACCTAATGTACACATAATTGATTTTGATTTGCGTCAAATCGATACAAACGCAAAGTAAATGGAAAAATAAATGTAATAACGGAAACTGGACACAAGGAAAGGTAGGGAGGTTCATTTTGTGTAAAGGAAGAACTCCCAAACATTACTATATTAGAACCTTCTCGTTTGCGACATCATATCCACTTGGACAGACTCTTCCGGGGTTACGAAAAACTTGTCCTTGTGGGTCCTTTGAGGCTTGAACGGGTATTTCCAAAAGCCTTTGAAGTAGACGGCGTTAGTTAAGACCATTTTAGCGCCTTTAACAAAGGAGAGTTGTATAAGCTTTGGTATTTTTCCTCGCGTTTCGGCGTTGATGTCAGCAGCGGCGGCGTCGGGCTGATGGCAGATTCAGTTTGATTATTTCGGTCAATGGAGTTTAAAGAGCCTTTAAAGAAATGTATCTGTTAAAAACTTGAAAGGATTTTTTTCTTGTGCAAGGGTCTCTTCTGTACGCGTCATAAAAGTTATGCTGCGTTCGGAACTGCTCGTCTTGCTCGTCCAGACACCTTGTCCAGGACCAGCAGGACAAGTGGGCCGCGTTCGGAACCTCCAAGACCCTTTCTGCCCAGAATGCAACCGGCTCCAATGTAAACATTTTTTATTTTTTTTTTATCTATTTGTTTATATATTTATTATTATTATTATTATTATTATTATTATTATTTTATATACTGGTGTCTTTATTTTACACGCTGCATAGGTTTTGTAACTCCTTTGATGCATATTTAACTTACCTGCAACTGACAAACACAAAAATATCCTTTGATAACACCAAAAAGGGTTATAAAATTACCCACCAATATCTTGGTTACCTACAACTGTCAATGTTTACATACAAAATTATTGTGACGTCATCTCGTCCTGTTCGCCCAGGTTCGCAGGAGGGCGAGTTGGACGAGCCAGAATACTTGTCCGGGACGAGATTGTGGAAGTTCCGAACGGTCAAAAACATCTTGTCCAACTGGGCTGGACGAGATAGACGAGCAGTTCCGAACGCAGCGTTAAATCCAGATTAGAGTTTCATCCAAATCCACTGTACTTTCACAGATGTAGTACACACTACCAGACGCACGCGTCCATGCGATTATCAGTAAATTTGCTCTTTTCAATAAGAGCGGTATTTGTGTAGTCGAATTAGCAGTCAAACTATTTGAGTTTCATATCACACGCTAAAAAAAGAAAGAAATAATTATATATATATATATATATATATATATATATATATATATATATATATATATATATATATATATATATTACATATACGGTAGTCTTATAGCATGAGGATGTGCATTTGTGTTACGACAAATAAATCCATATAAAGGGAACAGAATGTAGGTGTCAAACGAAAGATACATCAATTTATTTTCGCAGGAAAATGATAAAATTTGCACGCAGTTTTGAAGGCACTGTAATATAAAGATTCAAAAAAGTTTGTTATTGAACAAACGTGATGTTATTGAAAGCGTTCTTTTTAAGTCTACTGATATGATACATACGTTGGGATTGTTTTTCCAGCCTGGTAAACTCTTTGTGGATTTTCTTTCGTTTTTTTTTATTATTATTTGAGAGTTATTTCTGCAGTTTAAGTATCCCACGACTTATGAAAATACATGTTGATAAATGTCTGTAGCATAAAAATGCCAGAATTAGTTTCATCAATAAACATTTATCGCAGCTCAACTTCATCCTTTTTTATGGAGTTGACGTCATTACGTATCAATACCTGATTGGTGGGATTAACTAGCTCGTTCTTAGCATGCCAGGATTAAATTACGAGCTCAAAGTGAATGCTGGTCCAGAGATGAAATAAAAGTTGATCCTGGACGCTGCCATTGCGCATGCGCTCTAGAGATCTGGATTAAACTTGAATACTGGATTAACTTTTGGCACGTACAGAAGACGCCCTAAAGCACTGAAGAAGTTGGTTCATTCTACATACATTAAATGATCACCACAGAAGGCTTTTCTCTGTTACTCAAGATCAAAGTAAGTCTGCTGAACAGATCTGCCCTCTTGTACGGAAGGCTTTCACACTGCGCCCGAGGTTTAAGCTATAAGGTTTGAAGTGCTTCACTTTGTTTAAGGCTTAAAAGGTTTTATCACTGTGCCTCGGCTCATTTCTGTCTTCTCGTACTAGACCAAGATTGCCAGAGAACTCCCTTAACCACTTAATGGAAACGTATCACAAATTGAAATACAATGTCAGGTTACAGAGATTTGTATGTATATACGAAGTGATAATGCAGTGATTTAATGCAAATGTATGTGTAGATTACCCTCTTTTTGCAGAGACATAATCAAAACATTAGACCATAACTTATAAGCTGTGCTTTTATATAAAGAATGATGTTCGTATCCTCACTGAGCCATGAATCTGTAACTACATGAGTTCTGATATCCAATTTTGGATATGCATGATGTTACAAATGATTAATACTCCCCACATCTATTAGGAAGGAAAATAAAGCTGTAAGCCAAGTTTCTTACCCTATTAAAGTCTGTGAACTTCACTTGTCGTCGAGGACTTTTCCCACGCATTCTCGGACGGGAATGGACTGGTCGAAGTATATCCTGTTAGCCGAGTTGATGGTGTAGTTCTGGTTTGCTTCTTGGGAGCCATACTGCAGTGTGTTATTTTAGTAGAAATTATTATCTGATGTTATTACTTGCATTATAAAATCATGATCCTTTTTTATCATCAAGGTTTTATTCATGTCCATTCTCTCTCTCTCTCTCTCTCATATATATATATATATATATATATATATATATATATATATATGTATGTATATATATATATATAATATACATTTATATACATATATATGAAAATGAAGAAAGCATAATATGAAATGAAAAAATCTTTTTTCGTTGTTCTTCATAATTTTTGTGTACACGTTTCTGTGTTTGTTTTTACACACACACACACACACACACACACACACACACACACACACACACACACACACACACACACACACACACACACACACACACACATATATATATATATATATATATATATATATATATATATCCATCTACCTACCACCTCTCTTAACGGTTCACTCGGTAGGTTTAATCGCGTCAACCCACTCACCGCCGTTCGAGGGCCCTGAACAGGGCGAGCGTGTCCTCCCTGTTGGTGAGCCGCAGAACCTGCTCCAGCTCCGCCTTCGTGTTGCCTCGGGAGCCGAAGTAGGCGAGGACGAGGGCGCTCCAGACGCTGAAGGGCGAGATGAAGAAGTTCCCCGACGGAGGAGAGCCTTCTGGAGTAAGTCGAGGCTGAAGGGTCGACTGCTTGAGAATCGGGAGCCGCGGGGGCGGCGAGGTGTCGGAGGAGAGGCACTGACAGCTGGCCCGCGACAGGAGGGCGAGGGCGGGGAGCAGCACGCACACTCTCATGGTTCTGAAAGGTCACGCACACACTGGTATTTGAATATAGAAACACACGCAAACACATATGTATGTGTATATTGAATATAGAAACACACACGCAAACACATATGTATATATTTGAATATAGAAACCACACGCAAACACATATGTATGTGTATATTTGAATATAGAAACACACGCACATATATATATCTTCGTCAAAATATTATGTATTTCTAAACTATAGACAAAAGCGAGCCAGATACATTAGCACTATTAAGATATCCGGTCTTATTATTTTGACGCAATGAACACGGTTTAGAAACAAGTGACTCAAACACGGGTTGCAGTATACGCAAAACTATGGGTTGCACAGGAAACATATAACCGATATTGCAAGTTCACCTAACAGAATTGTAAATAGACCTTATGAGGTGGGAGGCAAAATGCTGAGAAGAACGGCGCAATATCTTTCAGTCACCTCATCACATCAGCAGTCAACAGTTACCATATGCGATTTGCAGTACCATAAATTCCTTACGAAATCGGAATATTCATATAAAACAGAAAACAAAGATGGTCTGTGGTGAGACTTTACCAAGCTACAGATTACTGAGGTAGCGAGGCTGTTCCTGTGAATATTTTACTACCCCTCTACATCTGCTTTATTCATAATTCCATAATAATGATACAAAAACACATACCGTAGTTTATTGTCTTTTATGCTCTTTGGTGCCACGCATCTCTGTGTAAGTGTACATTTGTTACAAAACTAAGATTTAATTAATACACTACAAATCAGAACTATTATGAAAAACCTGTACCTGAATTTGATCACAAAGAGATATATGTTTTGGGGGTGATTTGATTCTCATATTCAGAATTTTAACGTCATACAGATGAACGTCTGATCATACAGGGTGTCCTATATTTACTGTTAATGAATGGTTAGTGATATGATCATCATATGTTAACCACTTTCAATATGTTATGAAATTATCTTGAAATTCTGTGTGCGAGACGTTTGTTAAAATTGTGCGAGGCCCGACCCAATGAATATTCATACATAAAGACATGCAAATAAAGGCTTATTTCTTTATCTATCTGATAGATATACATTTATTTATCTATCTATCCGGCAGATATGCATTTGTCTGTCTACATTCATATTCATAATAATTAGGTCAGGCTTCGCACAGTATTAACAAACCGGCCGATGATATACATCAGCATACAAATCATACAAAACACCGGTACACAGTGCTCACCAAGAGAGTCTCGACACCAGTACCAACGCAGCGACCTAAAGTGACAGACGAACGCGAGAAGTCTCTCACGCAACGCACTTTCACCTACTAATGAGGGGCGCCTGGGACTCACGCTGATATACATCGCAGAGTCGTGCAATGCATTATAGAATAAACACATTACAGATGCCAATTGATATTCTCAAAACAAAAACACAAACAGCGTTCATTTAATTGTAATTAAAACGGGAAACGAATGTTGCAAATTCGGGTCACGTTTACATTGCAATGATGCTATTTGACAGCAGGACATGCAGCGGGAAACGTGATTTGGAATTATAAACTAAGTGTTCGTTAATACAGATAAATTCTATGTTTCGCTTTCTCCAATGAAAAAAACAATAACCACAACAATAGCAGTATAGATTATAAAACTAAAACAATAATAATGAAGGCAAAAACAACATTGGTATCAACAACAATGCCAACCATAATAATAACAAAGGTCCAACAGAGGATGCTCAAGGCCCACCTCTACAAGGGCCTTGTGGATCCCTCCCTTCGCCAGTAGTCCTCCGTCAGGTGAGAAGTTGGTCAGATCGGCGGTGGAGGAGAAAAGGTCACGGATTCCCATTTTCTTTAGAGTCTGGAGAAGGAAGGCGTGGATACGATGCATAGTTCGTTTTTTTTTTTTTTTTTTTTTTTTGTAAGATATTTGTGTCATGATTTCGTTACAAGAAGAAAAAAGTTATAATCTATCTGTACTCCATTTCATCAAATAATCGTTTTTTCGCTTTCTAATTTTAGATTTAAAATAGTAAGGCTAAGTTTAATCTTTAAAGGATATATATTGNACAGCGGTCATTTAATTGTATTTTAAAAACGGGAAACGAATGTTGCAAATTCGGGTCACGTTTACATTGCAATGATGCTATTTGACAGCAGGACATGCAGCGGGAAACGTGATTTGGAATTATAAACTAAGTGTTCGTTAATACAGATAAATTCTATGTTTCGCTTTCTCCAATGAAAAAAAGCAATAACCACAACAATAGCAGTATATATTATAAAACTAAAACAATAATAATGAAGGCAAAAACAACATTGGTATCAACAACAATGCCAACCATAATAATAACAAAGGTCCAACAGAGGATGCTCAAGGCCCACCTCTACAAGGGCCATCCCTCCCTTCGCCAGTAGTCCTCCGTCAGGTGAGAAGTTGGTCAGATCGGCGGTGGAGGAGAAAAGGTCACGGATTCCCATTTTCTTTAGAGTCTGGAGAAGGAAGGCGTGGATACGATGCATAGTTCGTTTTTTTTTTTTTTTTTTTTTTTTGTAAGATATTTTGTGTCATGATTTCGTTACAAGAAGAAAAAAAGTTATAATCTATCTGTACTCCATTTCATCAAATAATCGTTTTTTCGCTTTCTAATTTTAGATTTAAAATAGTAAGGCTAAGTTTAATCTTTAAAGGATATATATTACCACTGTGTACTGATATATTATATATATTACCAACCTCTAGCGATACATACATATATATCTATATCTATCTATCTATCTATATATATATATATATATATATATACATATATATATAGTATATATGATATATGTGTAGTATATATAATATACAGGTAGTCCGCATGTTACATGTTCCCTTCCAGTAGGCTGTTCGTAAGTACGTTTGTTCGTATATCCGTAGTAGGGCGTACGGTATGTTTTCATTACTGTACAACTAGCTCTACTTTCGGACGTACCGGTATAAACAATGCAGTGGTTTTCGGTGGTTTTTAATGTGCTTTGAACAATTTTCATCCAAATGCTCAGAAGTTTCCACGTTTCTTACTAATAACAGTAGACTGCAGAGGGACTGAACTTTTCACATGTTCCATGATTTTATCCTTGTTCTTGAGTATTGTACCGATATATATGTACCGTAGAACGATTCATCTGGTACGAACGAAGATTTGAGATATCAGGCTTTGAAGGTGAGGATATTTTTCCTCCATTTTTTTTCTTTGAAAATCTGATATCTGAGTCAACCTTGATGCATTCTATGGCATTCACATGCATTCTGAAGCGTACCCCCCCCCTTTTTTCCAAAGGACTAATGGCAATGAGTGCACATGATTGTAGAAGTACCGCATGTCACCAGAGGCTTGCAGTGCTTCTCGAGGCATTTCATAGAAAATAAAAAAACTGCTGCAGCTGTGATTGAAATGTATTTCTCATCATATTATGCTTATTAGTTACAGGAATAACATTGATCATTAGTAGTGGCCTATTATGTGATGAGGGCGCATCAGGGATGGTATCGCCCGAGGCATGGGACGATCTTCACCTCGCTCCGCTCTCTGTGGTGACTGCCAACCTTGTCTCTTTGTAGTGACTGTCAGCTGTGCTGCAAACAGAGTTGCCAGGTAGTTACCAGAGAATACCAAAATGAATAAAAAAAAAAAAAAAAAAATGTTGAGTATATTTGCACAGACGCGACACAGTAAACATCAGAGCCGGAGGCGGATGTCGGGGGAGGGGTCAGAGATTTAGGCCAAACTTTCTTATTTTACGTATTTAGCAAAAATATAATTACAAAAATAATCACAAAATCACAAAGTTTTCTGGAGAGCGTACAACACACGTTTGAATGAGACCGTGTGGGTACAGTGAGAGAGCTATTGTTTAGGCGCGCACTACTCTCACTCCCTCCTGACAACTTTGTTCGCATGTACCGAAGTTCGTAACTCGGAAGTTCGCAAGTAGGGACCACCTGTATGTGATATATGATGTATATAATATATGGAATCTATAATGTATATATAATTATAATATATATATCAATATATATATATATGTATAATATATATATAATATATAAAATATATAATATATATAATATATAATATATATGAAATATATATATACAATTTATATAACATGTATATAATAAATATCATATATACAATATATATATCATATGTATACATAAATATATATATATATAATATAACATAAAACATATATATAATATATATATATAAATATAATATAAAATATATATATGATGTATATGATATATGATATATATAATGTATATGACATACGATATATATGATGTATATGGTATATTTGTAAAATATAATATGAATTATGATAATATGTGCAATACATTATATTTATGTGTGTATATATATGATATACATCATATATATGACATACATAAAATATGTATATACACACATGCACATCTTCAATCTACAGTATACTCTAGATGACGATTTAAAATGTGTTTTGTTAGTTTTAATAGGATTGGAAATCAGAAAATAATCTGGTTTTTGTTTTCTTTAATGATATTTGACAAAGATATCCCATAGTCACCCTCTGACAAACCACATTATTGGAATTTGTAGTAAATTCAAAGTTTTCAGTCAAATTTCATAGAAATGGCAAACAAACTAATTATTATATATTCAGATGCAATCATATGACGTTCCCAAAGCTTTCCCAAACCACCTAGTTCCCCAGGTCGTCCCTTAAATCCCAGGCCCCCAAGATCATGTCCTAGGTATAAAATACTCCAAAAACCTGCCTTATCATTAAACCTTCAGGATAGTACAGTGGTAACGCGCCGGTCTCTCATCCGAGGGGTTGGCGGTTCGCGCCCCGACCAGGTGTGAGAAGTTGCAATTGTCGCCCTGAGGTAATTGCTGTGGCTGGGCACCACGGCGGGTAAAGACTAACCTCTGTTGCACTAGCTGACACACGTTCGCATATCGGACATTCCTCATCCTTGCCCCAATACTTGATTTCTTTACAGTAAAATACTCTGGGCTTCGTTCGGCCGATTCCGCATCCCGTGCCTCAGCTCAAGGCAACCTCGCGCTGGGAGATCAGCCGATATTTGTTTCTGCTGATCATTGACGCACACACGCATTCATAACAGTTTCAGAAACGTCACTACTAGGATCGATAAATAGGTTTGTTTAACCCTCTTTTCTTGAAAGAAGAATGGCAGCTTTATTAATAAGTGGATTACAAAGAAAATACTTCAAAAAGCTTTTACTCCTCTATCAGAACATTGACATCAATGTGCGAAAAGTACTGATGAAATTTTCGTTACAGGAAGATGAATCTGGTGTTAAAAAAGTCTGAATTGCAGCTTAGCTCATGTTTTTCACTTGTTTCTTTTCACGCTTTAAACAACCTGGAGCGTCAGTAGGATTAATCAGGTTTACAACGATATATCTTTTGTGAGGAAGGATTATGATTTAATGGTTGATATACTTCATCTGATTCTCAGTCACGTTTTTTTTTTTTTTTTAAAAAAAGCTCTTACATAACTATGATTCCAGGTGGTTTTAATAACTATTATTTTTTCAACTACTTTTATCTGAGCAACTTAATATCAATGGATTTACTCTGGCATAGCTTACTTTCCTTTATGCAGAAGGGGTGTGAACAGTGTTTGGTTTCCTCTGGGTCTTCAGTACGTGGTCCTTTACGGTATAGTTAGGGGCATACAAATGAAGGTAATGATAATGACTTTGTGTTAGTTTTAAAGAGGGGAGACTAACAAAATTTGGCCATAACAATAACAACAGTAGCAATAACGATGATAACAATAATAATGTTATAATAATAGCAGTAGTAATGATAATAATAACCATAATAATAAAAAATGTAACACTAGTTATAATATTAATAATGATATTGTTGAAATGCAATAATAGGGATAAGAAAATAACAATCGAATGTAATTAATATTCAATATAATGATAATTATGATAATAATAATCTTAATGATAATAACAATGATAATACCTATGACAACAATAACAAGAACAATGATAATACCTTTAATGATAATAACAATGAGAATAAAAAACAAGAAAATAATAATAATGATAACAGTAATAACGATAAAAAAATAATGATAATAATAGCGTTAAAATCAATAAGAACAATGCCAACCATAATAACAAGGTCCAGCAGAGGACCCTCAAGGACCCCTATAAACCCCCATGAACAGGATGTTGTTCGCCTCGTTATCTTGAATGAAGAAAACGAAGGGCCGGTTGCACGTGAACGTCGTCTTTGGAGGCATTGAACGAGACCTATTCAGAACGAACGCCGCTGCCGCCTCTGCGCCTTCTTCGTCCACCTCTATAAGGGCCTTGTGGATCGCTCCATTCACCAGTAATCCTCGAACAGGTGTGAAGTTGGTCAGATCGGCGGTGGAGGAGAAAAGGTCACGTATTCCCATTTTCTGTAAAGTCTGGAGAAGGAAGGCGTGGATACGATGCTATTTTTAAAGCTATTTTGCGTCATGATTTCGCTACAAGAAGCAAAGCAGTTTTTAATAGGTTATCAGTATTTCATTTCATTAAATAATCGTTTATTGCTCTCTCAGTTTAGATATAAACAAGTAGCAAGACTAAGTTTAATCTTTCAGGGATATCTATTACCAATATGTAACGATTTTGCAACCAGATGCGCAGAATCTTTACTGAAGTAATGGTATGATATGTAAGCTCGGAGTGTTTAAAACTCAAAACCCTTCGGGCCAATTTTCCCTTCAGCCACCATCTTGAGGGCCAACAGAGGTTTACATCTAACTTCCCAGGATTACGATACTAATACATGCATGTAGACGGCGTTAGTTAAGACCATTTTAGCGTCTTCAACAAAGGAGGGTTCTATAAGCTTTGGTATTTTTTCCTCGCGTTTCGGCGTTGATGAAGGCATTGATCTCAGCAGCGGCGGCGTCGGGCTGATGGCAGATTCAGGTTTGATTATTTCGGTCTCTGGAGTTTAAAGTCCTTTAAGAAATGTATCTGTTAAAAACTTGAAAGGATTTTTTTCTTGTACAAGGGTCTCTTCTGTACGCGTCATAAAAGTTATACTGTGTTCGGAACTGCTCGTCTTGCTCGTCCAGACACCTTGTCCAGGACCAGCAGGACAAGTGGGCCGCGTTCGGCACCTCCAAGACCCTTTCTGCCCAGAATGCAACCGGCTCGAATGTAAACATTTTTTTATATTTTTTTTTATTATTATTATTATTATTATTTATTTTATTTTTTTTTTTACACGCTGCATAGGTTTTTGATGCATATTTAACTTACCTGCAACTGACAAACACAAAAATATCCTTTGATAACACCAATAAGGGTCATAAAATTACCCACCAATATCTTGGTTACCTACAACTGTCAATGTTTACATACAAAATCTATTGTGACGTCATCTCGTCCTGTTCGCCCAGGTTCGCAGGAGGGCGAGTTGGACGAGCTAGAATACTTGTCCGGGACGAGATTGTGGAGGTTCCGAACGGTCAAAACATCTTGTCCAACTGGGCTGGACGAGATAGACGAGCAGTTCCGAACGCAGCGTTAAATCCAGATTAAAGTTTCATCCAAATCCACTGTACTTTCACAGATGTAGTACACACTACCAGACGCACGCGTCCATGCGATTATCAGTAAATTTGCTCTTTTCCAATAAGAGCGGTATTTGTGTAGTCGATTAGCAGTCAAACTATTTGAGTTTCATATCACACGCTAAAAAAAAAGAAAGAAGAATATATATATATATATATATATATATATATATATATATATATATATATATATATATATATATATATATATATATTTACACATATACGGTAGTCTTATAGCATGAGGATGTGCATTTGTGTTACGACAAATAAATCCATATAAAGGGAACAGAACTGTAGGTGTCAAACGAAAGATACATCAATTTATTTTCGCAGGAAAATGATAAAATTTGCACGCAGTTTTGAAGGCACTGTAATATAAAGATTCAAAAAGTTTGTTATTGAACAAACGTGATGTTATTGAAAGCGTTCTTTTTAAGTCTACTGATATGATACATACGTTGGGATTGTTTTTCCAGCCTGGATATAACATTGCCTTTTCTGTATTTGTAAACTCTTTGTGGATTTTCTTTCGTTTTTTTTTTTTTTTTTTTTTTTTTATTGTTGAGAGTTATTTCTGCAGTTTAAGTATCCCACGACTTATGAAAATACATGTTGATAAATGTCTGTAGCATAAAAATGCCAGAATTAGTTTCATCAATAAACATTTATCGCAGCTCAACCATCCTTTTTTTATGGAGTTGACGTCATTACGTATCAATACCTGATTGGTGGGATTAACTAGCTCATTCTTAGCATGCCAGGATTAAATTACGAGCTCAAAAGTGAATGCTGGTCCAGAGATGAAATAAAAGTTGATCCTGGACGCTGCCATTGCGCATGCGCTCTAGAGATCTGGATTAAACTTGAATACTGGATTAACTTTTATGGCACGTACAGAAGACGCCTAAAGCACTGAAGTTGGTTCATTCTACATACATTAAATGATCACCACAGAAGGCTTTTCTCTGTTACTCAAGATCAAAGTAAGTCTGCTGAACAGATCTGCCCTCTTGTACGGAAGGCTTTCACACTGCGCCCAGGTTTAAGCTATAAGGTTTGAAGTGCTTCACTTTGTTTAAGGCTTAAAAGGTTTTATCACTGTGCCTCGGCTCATATTTCTGTCTTCTCGTACTAGACCAAGATTGCCAGAGAACTCCCATAACCACTTAATGGAAACGTATCACAAATTGAAATACAATGTCAGGTTACAGAGATTTGTATGTATATACGAAGTGATAATGCAGTGATTTAATGCAAATGTATGTGTAGATTACCCTCTTTTTGCAGAGACATAATCAAAACATTAGACCATAACTTATAAGCTGTGCTTTTATATAAAGAATGATGTTCGTATCCTCACTGAGCCATGAATCTGTAAGTACATGAGTTCTGATATCCCTATTTTGGATGCTGCGATGTTACAAGTGATGAAGACTCCCCACATCTAGTAGGCAGGAAAATAAAGCTGTAAGCCAAGTGTTTCTTACCCTATTAAAGTCTGTGAACTTCACTTTGTCGTCGAGGACTTTTCCCACGCATTCTCGGACGGGAAATGACTGGTCGAAGTATATCCTGTTAGCCGAGTTGATGATGTAGTTCTGGTTTGCTTCTTGGGAGCCTTAACTGCAGTTGTGTTAGTTATTTTAGTAGAAATTATTATTTGATAATGTTATTACTTGCATTATAAAATCATGATCCTTTTTTATCATCAAGGTTTTATTCATGTCCATTTCTCTCTCTCTCTCTCTCTCTCTCTCTCTCTCTCTCTCTCTCTCTATATATATATATATATATATATAATATATATATATATACACACACATGTATATGTATATATATATATATATATATATACACACATGTGTATATATATACACAAGTATATATTTATATACATATATATGAAAATGAAGAAAGCAATAATATGAAATGATTTTTTTTTTTCGTTCTTCTTCATAATTTTTGTGTACACGTTTCTGTGTTTGTGCACGCACACACACACACACACACACACACACCACACACACACACACACACACACACACACACACACACACACACACACACATATATATATATATATATATATATATATATCCATCTACCTACCACCTCTCTTAACGGTTCACTCGGTAGGTTTAGTCGCGTCAACCCACTCACCGCCGTTCGAGGGCCCTGAACAGGGCGAGCGTGTCCTCTTTGTCGGTGAGCCGCAGAACTCGCTCCGGCTCCGCGCGGCTCACGCCCCGCCCATGTGCGAGAAGTTGCAATTGTGAGAGAGAGAGAGAGTGAGTGTGTGTGTGAGAAAGTTGTGTATGTGAGAGAGAGAGAGAGAGTGAGTGTGTGTGAGAGTAAGTGTGTGTCTGTGTGAGAGAGATAGAGATAGATAGAGATTGAGTGACTGAGTGACAGTGAATGGCAGAGAGAGAGAGCGAAACATGGTTTATAATTTCAAATCACGTTTCTCGCTGCATTTGCTGTTATGGCAGATAGCATCATTGCAATGTAAACGTAACCCAAATTTGCAGTATTCGTTCCCCGTTTTAATTACAATTAAAGTAACGCTGTGTTTTGGTTTTGAGAACATCAATTATTCCGTGATTTTACTTCAGTCTCAGTCATTGCAAAATCAAGGGTATGTGCTGGCATGTTATATGTTTATTCTACAATGCATGACTTGTCCCATTGCAGTCCAAACACGAAAACAATAATACATATATTTGGCAGAATGTTGTCTTATGTGCTTATTAGCAGACTTTTGCATATTATTTATATTATGATTATACGAACTGGCAAGACCACACAAATGCAGAGATTTAGACACAATCAACAGACGAAATGTCGGCTCTCGCGGTCTCTCTGCGATGTATATAAACGTGAGTCCCAGCCGCCTCTCAGTAGTAGGTGAAAGTGCGTTGCGTGAGGAAGACTTCTCGCGCTCGTCCGTCACTTAAGGTCGCTGTGTTGGTGTTGGTGTCGAGATTCTCCTGGTGAGAACTGTGTACCGTTTTATTATTTATTTATTTATTTTTATTATTATTATTATTTTGTATAATTTGTATGCTGATATATATTATCGGCCCGGTTGTTAAAATTGTTCGAAGCCCGACCTTATTATTCATAATACGGATATAGATATATATAGACATAAATGCATATCTGTTGGATAGATAGATATATATAAATGTATATCTATCAGATAGATAGAGAAATGTGCATTTATTTACATGTTTTTATGTAATATTCATTGGATCAGGCCTCGCTCAATTTTAACCGGACATAAGTAACGTGTATCACACACAAAATTTCAAGATATGATAACATAATGAAAGTGGTCAACATATGAGCATAACACTAACCATTCATTGACAGTAAGTATAAGACACCCTGTACGATTAGACTTGTTCTTTTATATGATGATGTTAAAAATTCTGAACATGGGAATGAAATTATCCCCAAAACTTGTATCGCTTTGTGATCAAATTCAAGTACAGGCTTTTAAGTGTAGTGTGTTAATTATATCTTAGTTTTGTAACAAATATACACTTACACAGAGAGACGTGGCACCAAACATAGAGCATAAAAGACAATAAACTACGGTTTGTGTAAGTTCAGTGTATCATTATTATGTGCTTGATGGAATTATGAATAAACCAGATGTAGAGGGGTAGTAAAATATTCACAGGAAAAGCCTCGCTAACTCAGTAATCTCTAGCTTGTTAAAGTCTCACCACAGACCATCTTTGGTGTTTTCTGTTTTTATATGAATATTCAGATTTCGTAAGGATTTATGGTACTGCAAATCGCATATGGTAACTGTTGACTGCTGATGTGTTGAGGTGACTGAAAGATATTGCGCCGTTCTTCTCAGCATTTTGCCTCCCACCTCATAAGGTCTATTTGCAATCTATTAGTTAGGCGAACATGCAATATCGGTTATATGTTTCCTGTACAACCCATGATTTTGTGTATACTGCAACCCGTGTCTGAGTCGCTTGTTTCTAAACCGTGTTCATTGCGGCAAAATAATAAGACCAGATATCTTAATAGTGCTAATGTATCTGGCTCGCTTTTGTCTATAGTTAGAAATACATAATATTTTGACTAAAATATATATATATTTGTGTGTTTCTATATTCAAATACCAGTGTGTGCGTGACCTTTCAGAACCATGAGAGTGTGCGTGCTGCTCCCCGCCCTCGCCCTCCTGTCGCGGGCCAGCTGTCAGTGCCTCTCCTCCTCTGACACCTCGCCGCCCCCGCGGCTCCCGATTCTCAAGCAGTCGACTCCCTTCAGCCTCGACTTCTTCCAGAAAGCTCTCCCTCCGTCGGGGAACTTCTTCATCTCGCCCTTCAGCGTCTGGAGCGCCCTCGTCCTCGCCTACTTCGGCTCCCGCGGCAAGACGCAGGCGGAGCTGGAGCAGGTTCTGCGGCTCACCAACAGGGAGGACACGCTCGCCCTGTTCAGGGCCCTCGAACGGCGGTGAGTGGGTTGACGCGATTAAACCTACCGAGTGAACCGTTAAGAGAGGTGGTAGGTAGATGGATATGTGTACACAATGTGTACACAAAAATGAAAACAGCGACAAAAAGATATATTCGTTTCATATTGTTGCTTTATTCATTTTCATATATGTGCACACACACACACACATATGTGCGTGTGTGTGTGTATATGTGTGTGTGTATGTGTGTGCGTGTGTGTGTGTATAAAGAGAGAAAACATTATCAAGTAATAATTTCTGCTAAAATAACTAACACGATTGCAGTTATGGCTCCCAAGAAGCAAACCAGAACTACACCATCAACTCGGCTAACAGGATATACATCGACCAGTCCATTCCCGTCCGAGAATGCGTGGGAAATGTCCTCGACGACCAAGTGAAGTTAATAGACTTTAAGAAGGTAAGAAACACTTGGCTTAATTCTTATTTTCCTGCCTAACAGAAATGGGGAGACTTCATCACTGGTAATATCGCTGCATATCCAAAACTGGGATATCAGAACTCATGTAGTTACAGTTTCAAGGCTAAGTGAGGATACGAACATGTCTTTATATAAAAGCACAGAATGTAAGGAGGGTTATCTACATATCAATTTGTATTAGATTACTGCATAATGTATATACAGACAAATCTCTGTAACCTGGCATTATATTTAAATTTATGAAACATTTCCATCGAGTGGTTATGGGAATTCTCTGAGAATCCTGGCTCTCTGTCCTTTAGTACGAGAAGACAGAAATATGAGCCGAGTCACAGATAAAACCCTCTAAGCCTTAAACGAAGTGAATCATTTCAAACCTTAGATATAGTTTAAACCTCGGGCACAATGACAAAGCCTTTAAGCTCCATACAGGAGGGCAGATCTTTTTAGCAGATTTACTTTCATCTTGAGTAACAGAAAAGCCTTCTGTGATTATTTAATGTATGCAAAATTAACCAGATTCTTTTGTGCCTAAGCCATGATTTTAAAAATCTTATATGCATCTCTTTCAATCTTTAACACAGATACATTTCTATAAAAGTTCTCTAAACTCCAGAGTCCGAAATAATCAAACCTGAATCTGTCAGCCCGATGACATCAATGCCTTCATATTTATAGAATTCGAAATCTTTTCTCAATCAAGGGGAGTCCGCTGAATCTTTGCTGACATCAATGCCTTCATAAATACCAAAGGCACGCCTTAACTAACGCCGTTCAAAGGCCCCGTTCAAGCCTCAAACCCACAAGGACAAGTTTTTCGTAACCCCGGAAGAGTCTGTCCAAGTGGATATGATGTCGCAAACGAAAAGGTTCAAATATGGTAATGTATGGGAGTTCTTCTTTTATACAAAATGAACCTCCCTACCTTTCCTTGTGTCCAGTTTCCGTTGTTACATTTATTTTTCCATTTACTTTGCGTTTGTATCGATTTGTCGCAAATCAAAATCAATTTTGTGTACATTAGGTGTCTCTCTTTATGGCAACATGTACATAATTCAACACAGAACAAGTTACCTTACAATGTAAGGAAATCGTAAAAAGAATCACCTGTTATTATCACGAACTTCATATATGTCCAACTCCGTTCCAGTGGACTCGGAGAAGCTTCACGCCCAGGTGCTGGAGATGCCCTACAGGGGTGACGCCATGTCCATGGTGGTGCTCCTCCCGCGAAGTGAGAGAGCCAAGGAGGTGGACAGGCTTGTCCAACGCCTGAAGCCCAAGGTACTCGCGTCCGAGTTGAAGGCGATGCCCTCCGTCTCGCTGAGAGTCAAGTTTCCTAAGTTCAGCGTGGAGAGTACTCTCGGGAATGAACTCATTTCGGTATGTTTGAATTAGGGCAAGGTAAGCGTTGGTGTTGAACTCACAAAATGAGGTATAATCTACTATCACAAACGTTATATATATATATATATATATATATATATATATATATATATATATATATATATATATATATATATAATACCAGCAGGGAACTTTACTCAATACAGGCTAGAGCAGGAGGGCCCGCGGGACACTTGCTGTTTCAGTCTTACAGTCGGCCGTTTTACATAATTCATTAAGCCAATACTTTGCCCTTTAAATTCATCACCTGCACTTTACACTTTTTCTATTCTGTTTTCACAAAGAATGAAAAAGCGCATGTCATTCTATATATATATATATATATATATATATATATATATATATATATAATATATATATATATGTATATATGTATATATATATATATTCATATATATACATATATATGTATATATGTATACACACACATATGTATATGTATATTCATACACACACACACACATATATATTCATATGTATATATATAGGTATATGTATATACATTCATATATACATATATATACATATGTATAAATGGACACACACACACACACAAACCGACACACACACACATATACATATATATTTATATTTGCTTAAACACACGCACACATACATATAAATGGTCCACGGGCTAATTGTGTCTACTGATCTGATCCCAGGGCTTGTCATAATTATTAGCCTGTGATCGTCATGAAGAAAAAATAATGTCATATATAATGTGTTACCATTAGGTTCATTCGAATTGTGATAGGTAAAATAAACTTTACGTTCAATCACATAATACCAGTTCAAGAAACGTAATACTGGGAAGCCAGATGTAAACCTCTGTTGGCCCTCAAGATGGTGGCTGAAGGGAAAATTGGCCCACGAAGGGTTTCGAGTTTGAAACACTCCGACTATAGCTTCTGCGTCTTGGGTTGCGAAATCGTTACACTTTGTAATAGATATCTCTGACAGATTAAATTTAGTCTTGCTACTATTCTAAATCTAAACTGAGAGAGCAATAAACGATTATTTGATGGAACGAAATAATGATAAGCTATTACAAACTGTTTTTCTTCCGGTAGCGAAATCGTAGCACAAAATATCTTTGAAAAAAAAAAATATATATATATATATATATATATATATATATATATATATATATATATATGTGTGTGTGTGTGTGTGTGTGTGTGTGTGTGTGTGTGTGTGTGTGTGTGTGTGTGTGTGTGTGTGTGTGTATTCACATCGTAATCACGCCTTCCTTTTTTCCAGACTCTAGGGAAAATGGGAATCCGTGACCTTTTCTCCTCCACCGCCGATCTGACCAACTTCGCACCTAACGGAGGACTACATGTGAATGGAGGGATGCACAAGGCCCTTATAGAGGTGGACGAAGAAGGCGCAGAGGCGGCAGCGGCGACGGCTCTTTATGTGTGTCTCGTCAAGGCCTCCAAAGACGACGTTCACGTGCAACCGGCCCTTCGTTTTCTACATTCAAGATAACGAGGCGAAACAACATCCTGTTCATGGGGTTTATAGGGGTCCTTGAGGGTCCTCTGCTGGACCTTGTTATCATTACGGTTGGCTTTGTTCTTATTGACATTAATTTTGTTATTATTATCATTATTTTATTATCATTCTTTTTTTTATTTTTTATTTTACTGTTATTGTTATTATTATCATAGTTATTATCATTGTTATTATAATTAAGATTATTATTATTATTATCATTATTATTGGTATTATTGTTATTATGTTATTTGTATTTCATTATTATTTTGTTACCCCTAAAATTGCATTTATTTCAACATTATCATCATTATCATTACTATTATTACTATTTTTATTGCTATCCTTATTATTATTATTATTATTATTATTATTATTATTATTATTATTATTGTCATCATTATTATTGATATTATTATCATTATTATTATCACTATCTTTTGATATATATATATATATATATATATATATATATATATATATATATATATATATATACATATATATCCATCTATCTATACACACGAACACACACACACACACACACACACACACGTATATATGTGTGTGTGTGTGTGTAGATAAATAGATGAATAGAAAAAATATATATGTATGTATATGTATATTTACACATATAGGTATATATACATATATGTATCTTTATACGAGTATATATGTATGGTTATACATACATATATACGCATATGTATATACATATATACACACACATACACACATATTGATTGTGAGCACAATTCTTTTGTTGAGTGGTGGAGTAATTGATAGAGCGGCCGCCTCACGATCTGGCGGTGCGGGATCGATCCCCGAACAGAGAGGTTTATATATTCATACACACATATATGCATATATGTCGAATAATTCATTTCTTTATTATTGTAAACGGGTTCACTTCTTCGCTTTACTTTGCATAATAACACACACATATGTAGACACATACACACACATGCAGAGAGAGAGAGAGAGAGAGAGAGAGAGAAGAGAGAGAGAGAGAGAGAGAGAGAGAGAGAGAGAGAGAGAGAGAGAGAGAGAGAGAGAGAGAGAGAGAGGAACATGGAACTTATCCGTTTTAATAACTTAGTTTATAATTCCAAATCACGTTTCTCGCTGCATTTGCTGTTATGCCAAATAGCATCATTGCAATGCAAACGTGACCCGAATTTGCAATATTCGTTTCCTGTTTTGATTACAGTGAAGGGAACGCTGCTTGTGTTTCTGTTTTGAGAATATCAATTGTTCCGTGATTTCAAGTTCAGTCAACTCCCTTGACCTTGTAGTCCAAACACGAAAAGAATAATACATACATTTTCATGACCCTGGTAGGATTTTTACTGATTATTTATATTACCATGATTATAAAATTGTAAGAAATAAATTACGCCTCTTTTTCGAGACCAACCAAAGGCTCAAATCAATAAGTATTCGTTATTCGTTATCACTCTACTTGTTCGAGTTTGATTTAAATAGCATAGTTTATAAAAGGACTAAATCAATTGAATCTATTTTCTGGTTTGTTATTCATTATATAAATGAGTGGATGATGATAAAGATGATAATTAAGATGACGAGGTGGTGGTGGCGGTGATAATATTAAGGATGGCGATAATAATGATGGTATAATTATGATTCAGTTTTATTGATAATGATAATAATGATGATAGTAATGGTTAAAATGATAGGAAAGAAAGCAATAGATAACATGGTACTGGTGACTACCATTCCATTTCAATCCAAACACGAAAAGATATATATATTTTTATGACAATGGCAGGGTTTTGTCTTACTATGTGCTAAATAGAAGATTTTAGCTGATTATTTATTTATTTTTTTATAGTTATAAAAATGTAAGAAATAAATAGTTACGACTCTTTTTCGAGACCAACCAAAGGCTCAAACAGATAAGTATTCATTATTCCTATGATGTAGTGGTATAACTCTTGTACGAGTAAGATACGGATTAAATAATATAGTTTGTAGAGAATGTATTATGTGCCTTGTTATGCATTATTGTAATGTACATTTGGGTTTGTGTGCATTTGGATACTAAGAAAGAAATGAATGGATGATGATAATGAAGATGATGATGGTGGCAGTGGTGATAATAATAACGATGATAATAGTAATGGGGATAGGGATCAATATGATAGCAATAGTGATAATGATAAATATGAAAGCAATAGTTATAATGATAATAATAAATACGATAGCAATAGTAATAATGATAATTATAATAAAATGAAGAAAACAGTAGTAATAATAATGACTGTAATAATAATGACAATGATAGTGTAATGAAAATGATTATGATATATAATAATGGTAAATGATAATCATAGGAATCATATAGGAATCGTGATGATAAAATAATAATGATAATAAAAAATAATAAATTTCATTAACCTAGGAGCCGATTCTTTGAGCTAAGGATATATGAACAGGCAAGACCAAATAAATGCAGAGATCTAAACATAATCAACAGATGAAATGTCGGCTCTCGCGGTCTCTCTGCGATGTATATCAGCGTGAGTCCCAGCCGCCTCTCAGTAGTAGGTGAAAGTGCGTTGCGTGAGGACTTCTCGCGCTCGTCTGTCACTTTAGGTCGCTGCGTTGGTGCTGGTGTCGAGACTCTCTTGGTGAGCACTGTGTACCGGTGTTTTGTATGATTTGTATGCTGATGAATATCATCGGCCGGTTTGTTAATACTGTGCGAAGCATGACCTAATTATTACGAATATGAATGTAGACAGACAAATGCATATCTGCCGGATAGATAAATAAATGTATATCATATATATATATATATATATATATATATATATATATATATATATATATTATATATATATATA